CAGAGCCCCTGGCATGGGGGAAGGGGGGCACACAGAGCCCCTGGCAGAGAGAGGGGGAATGGGGGGGCACACGGAGCCCCTGGCAGAGGGACTGGGAAGGGAGGGCACACAGAGCCCCGGGTACAGGGAGCGGGCATGGGGGGTACACAGAGCCCCTGGCATGGGGGAAGGGGGGCACACAGAGCCCCTGGCAGAGAGAGGGGGAATGGGGGGGCACACAGAGCCCCTGGCAGCTGGGAGGGCTTGCTCTTTAGCTCAAGCAGAGCAGCTTATGAGTTCAGAGCTGGAGACCCCGATTCGATCCCCAGGCATGGGGTGAAGGCCCGGGGCGCCTCTTGCACAAACCCAGCAGGAGGGATGAGCTTTAAGGGCTTTGCAGACAACTTGGCCCCCTCCAGCAAAGACCTCAGCCCCCCAGGCCGGACTCCCCCCACCCTGAAGTCAGGGTCTGGTTCTCCGGTCTCAGGGTGTGCCTGGCTTCCACTGGTCAGGCCCTGCTGAGGAGCAAGAGCTGGTAGCTGCCCCAGAGCCGGGATGAGCCAGCCCCAAGGCCTTGGGCAGGGGGAGGAGGGGAAATGCCTTGGCCCCCTGCCCCACTCTGGGGTCCCCCAGTAAAGCGGGGGAACAGTGTGGACATGCTGCCAGTGTGTGCCGGGGGTGTTTGCCTCACCCCGGTATTCCCAGGGGGATGATGGCTCAACCCCCACCTCCAGCCCCTGGCAGCTCGGTCCACTCCCTGCTCAATCGGGGCTTCTCTCGACCACCCCCTTTCCTCAGAGTAAAGGCGCTGCCCCCTGCTGGGCACAACGTGATGATCGGTCTCTCAATTACTGCTGTAGTCATAGGAGTAGGATGGGGTCCCTTAAAGACCTAAACAACCACAGGGAGGGAAACTGAGGCATGGGACAGGGAAGTGGCTTGTCCTAAAGTCATCTAGAGAGTTAGTGGCTTAGGTGTCAACGGCTCTGTTCCTTGGTCCTACTGCCCTCTGCGAGCTGGGGAGAGAACCCAGGAGTTCTGACTCCCAGTCGCGCCCACCCCGGATCTCATCACTAGATCCCAAAATTGTCTTTAATGGGGGCCAGGATTTCAGCCTTTGTGTCACTTTCCCAATGCAACTCCAATAGGCCATGCACAAAGCTGATGCTGTGACTTGGGGGGTCGCGGATTCCTGGGGGTTCCGGGTGCAACCCTGAGAGTTTGGTAGCTGCAGCACTCTGTGGCTTAGCACCTGCCCGGCTCAGCATCCTGTGCTGGTCCTGACTTGGGAGATACGTCCCTTCCCCATCATGAGCCTCATAGCCCTCCCGGTTGTGACTGACCCATGGGCGGGGGGGGGGGGCGTTATTCCCAGTTGCACGTCCCCGACATTTAATTGGCAGTGCCATGTTTTTAGAAAAGTTTCCATGTCAACAAAAACGGCATTTTTTTAATAGAAAAAAAACCTTTCCATGAAAAATTTCCATCCAACTCTAGAGCTGCCCCCCAGCTCTGGGAGAGGAGTGGGTCTGGTGGGTAGAGCAGGGAGTCTGGGAGCCCGGACTCCTGGGTTCCATCCCCTGCTCTGGGAGGGGAATGTGGCTTTGGTGCAATGACAAAACGGGAACAGGGTTAGACCCAGGCTCCATCCCTATCCCCACTGCAGGGCCGAGCCATGTTGGGGTCACCATGTATGCACACATCATGGGAACATGGTTACAACATGTGTCGGTCTCCTCTGCGTTGCATGGTTCAACCATGTTGGGGATGACACACACTTGTCGTGGTGCTGTGGTTTTGGGGTCTACGTGTGTCAACCTTGGGGGACACATCCCCGACACCTCTCTGTCTCGTAGGTAGGATGACACTGAAGTGCCTGGGGACTGTGTCAGGGACCATGGGCCCACACATACTTCCCGGGATGTGATTAGCCTTGGCTGTATGGATCACATTTTAAAGATACCTTCAGGGGATTTTACTTGACCCAGTTTCCCTGGACCTGGAAAGGATTCTACTGTAGCCAGGAACTTCCTGGGTCAATCTGGTCTCAGTTTACACTGTTATAAATCCAGAGTGACTCCCACTAGATTTACGGCTGGGTCACTGAGAGCAGGATCAGGCTCCAGCTCCACTGATGTTAATGAGATCACACTGCATTTCCCAGTTGGGTCAGAACTGATTCTGAATTGCACTGGTCTATGGCCAGGGAAACAGATCAGGATTAAGCCCTAATTCTACTGCAGGGAGGCCAGATGGTGTAACTGAGAATCCAAATTGGGCCATAACTCCCTCCTCTTTGCTGAATTTAACCCAATGTAACAGATCAGAATCTGGTCCTGAGTGTGTCTGGGGCCCTGATCTTGGCTGGTCCCAAGGCACTGCTACAATAAACATGATTAATAATAATTATAATGAAGGGTTGTCTACCCAGGGAGCTAATCCAGAGCCACTCTGTGTGTAGAATCTTGTTCCTGCCTTGTTCTGGAAGTGGATTCAGCTAAACCAGAAAAGGGCACCCCTCATCTGGAATAAGAGCATCCACATATGGAGTTATTCAGGAATACCTATTCCCCTTTAAATTCACACCCTACCTTAATCCGAATTAATTTTTAAGTGTAGACAAACCCTAACTGCAGCCTGGGGAGGACTCCAGATTTCCTCTGGGAGAGCTGAGATCAGAGTCTGGCCTGACCCCGTTGCAGTCACGGGGTAACTCCGGTTTGACCCGTTTCCCAGGGGAGCTGAGATCAGAATCTGGCCCTGCCCCCACTGCAGTTGCAGGGTGACTGTGGATTAACCCGGTGGGGATTGAGAGCAGAGTCCGACCTGACTCCATTGCAGTCAGGGGGTGGCTCCGGATTGACACGGGGGAGGTGAGATCAGAATCTGGCCCTGCCCCCCCATTGCAGTTGCGGGGTGACTCCGGATTAATTGGGAGGGGGCTGAGATCAGAGTCTGACCTGACTCCATTGCAATCAGGGTGTGACTCCGGATTGACACTAGGGGAGGCGGTGTGAGATCAGAATCTGGCCCTGCCCCCATTGCAGCCGGGGGTCACTCCGGATTGGCCCGGGGCCGGTTCGTGGCCCGCAGCTCCCGGCGGCGGCGGCGGAGGGGTTCCCGTGGCCAGCCATCTGCCAGCAGCTGGGGGGGGGGAGCGGGTGGCCCCGGAGTGACACCCCCGCCGCCCAATCCCCTCGCGCAGCAGCACAAAGGCCCTGCGAGTGTGCCAGGGCTGCATGGCGGGGAGGGGGCCCCGGGCCGGGGGGGAAGGGGGAGCCAATGGCACGGCTGGGGGAGGGGCGGCGGAGGGGGAGTAGCTTGCAGGGGAGTGGGTTTCCCCGGAGTTGGTGGGGGAGGACGGAGCGGTGCAAAGGGAAGCGCTGCGGAGCCGAGCCATGGAGAGCAGCAGCCTCCAGTGTGCAAGGTACTGGGGGGCACCCCCTGCCCAGGCACGCCGGGGTTAACCCGTGAGGCGCCGGAGGCGGGGCGATCTGGGGGCCCGGGGCCTAGTGGGGGCTGCACGGGCTGCAGCCGGGCTGGCTCGGCTCGATACAGCCCCTGCCCCCCAGCCCTGGGGGTCTTGGGAACTGCCGAGTCAGCAAGATCCCAAGCAGGGGGCGCAGTGCAGTGGGGGGGGAGGGGATTTTTTTACTATGGGGGGCAGTCCCCCCCGGATTTTTCATAGGTCTCTATGCTTCCCCCCCCCCCCCCGGCTATGCAGGAGATAAGATAATCACCTATAATGTTCTTGAGGCTGCACACAACTCCCCCCCCCCGGAATTTGTCTGAAATGGCACCCCGCTTTTTTGCAATGCTGGTCCTGGGGGCTGGCGAGAGACGCTCCCCTCTTTCCCCCCCCCCAGTTCTACTTGGAGTGGGGCAGTAGTCACAACGCGCCCCCTCCCCCGGCTTGCATTGAGTTCTCTGGGTGTTTGGGGGGGGATTGGGGGGGCGAGTCTTTGCAGACGAGGTCGATTGCGGGTGGGGGAGGGGCGATGACTTGATAATGCCAAAGTTTGGCTCCTTGTGACGTCAGCGGGTGAATTTCACCCGAGGGGAGTGTATGTGTGGGGGGGAGGGGTTTGGGGGGGTTATCGTTTGAGGAGGGGGGGCGGCAGGGATGCACCCAGCTGAGCAGAAGCTACAGCTGTGCCACGTCTGATCGGCTAATATGGGGGGGGGGGAATGGGCTGGTAGTCCCCCCCCCCCCCCCCCCATCTCATCTCCAGGGCCAAGCTCACCAGCTTCTGTAGCCAGGGCATGAGGAGGGAGTGGGTGTGAGCAGATCCCCCCTCCCCCCGCAAAAAAACCAACCCCCCAACCACACACTCTCCTTGTTTGCAGTCTTGCCCTGAGCCTCTCCATGAGCCGCCCCCCCTTGGGGTAATCGGGGTTTGGGGTGCTGTGCGCGGAGAGCTGGGGGAGAAGAGAGATGCAGTCCGCTCCGCCCTCCCTGAGAGCCTTGGGGACAGGTGTCTGATCCCAGCAGGGACCTCTCTGGTGCCAGGGTAGTGTGGGGCGGGGGCTGTGTCTAGACACGCTTGCGGGGCGAGGGTAGTGCGGGGCGGGGGCTGGGTCTAGACAGGCTTGCGCTGAACCTGGGACTGAGTTTTGCTGGAGTTTTAAACCCTGCTGATTTCCAGGCAGCGCTTTGGGGGCTGCGGCTGAAATCTACCTGAGCTGCACTTGGCCTCCGATTCCTTCAGAGAAGGGGGGGGGTTTGGACCCAGATCAGAACTTTCCCTAGATCTCCGGGGGCGGGGAAGCTGGTGCTGGAAGGGGTTAGGTGAGCAGTTTGGCCTTGAATGGCCACTCCCTTGAGCAAAGGTGCGGCTAACCTCCTTGGGGTTGATCCCAACCAGGCGATGGCTAGGGGAGCTTTACTCTACCCGGCTTCATACCGCTCCCCATCGCTGTCCCGTCTGAGCACTTGGATCAGAACCGCTGGGGGTGGGGCGGGTGGGTTGGGTCTCAGGGGCTGGGTGTCCGGTTTCCTCTCCATTATAGGAACGGGCTGGAGGGTGTGAGGTTGGTGTGAGGATCGGAGCTTTCCCTGGATCTCTGGTGCGGGGATTGCGTCCCGGGACTGTCTCTGCAGCTTACGGAGATGAGAGCGGGTCCGGGGCTTGAGTGGGGGGCGGCCAGCCCCGAAGTTTGCCTTCCAGCTGCCCCGACCTTTAATGAACAAAGTTATCCGAGGGCGGCTGTCGGGCTGGAGGTGCTGGGCTGTGCTGGGAGTGGGCTGCGTGCCAGGTGGGTGTGTCAGGTTGTTGTTTCTTTGGGATCGGAGGTCGCCATCAAAGTTTTTCCTGGACCGCTGGGGAAAAGGGGCATTCATGGCAATGGAGCAGGGCCGGTCAATACCAGCTGGGGATCTGGCCCCTTCTGAAATCCTGCTGGTGTCTCTGTAACCCTTGCCAAGCTAGGGTGGGGCATGCAAGGAACTACTGCCCCGCCCGGTGTGGGGGATGGCTGTGGCTGAGACCCCTGGGGTTGGACTGCAGCAGAAATCCGGAAGCCCCGAGTGCCAACCTCCTCTGTGCTGCCCCCTCTTGGCTGGGGTGGGGATTTCCCAGCCCTGGGATCAAAGGTCAGGGTGGCACACTGTGCCCAAGCTGCACTTGGCTATCCCACCCCCTGCTCCTGTGGCTGGCACCCTTGTCTGCCCCCGGGATGCTCCCCCCTCCGCCTCTGCACGGTGCCCCCTCACGGCGGGCACGGAGCTGGGAGATATTTCCTCGGTGCCCTGTTCTCCTGCCCCTCCCTGCCCCCCCCGCCGAGTGGTTGGCACAGGGGGTGCTCCTTGCCCGCCGTGCTCTCCTGGGTCGCTGTGGCACTCACAGAACTGGGTGTATATCCTCTGGGGCACAGCTTCCTCCTCCCCTCGCTGGATGCCCCCGCCTGGCACCAAGCCTGGTCCAGCCCCTGCATCGCACCCCAAGCAGCTGACTCCTTCCCTCCTGGGTTCCTCCCCCGCGTAAGGTGGCTGTCCGGCTGCCCGCGGGGTGGGGGAGCGCGCCACGTGTGTGTGTGTACATCACATGTTCCAGCCCGGTGCCAAGCCGTGACGTGGGAGGAGCTGCGCCCTCTGGTGCCATACGGAGAAGCCAAGTCCTGCTGATCGGGGCGGTGCTGATCCGGGGCTAGTGGAGGGGATTGGCGGCAGGCATTGGCATTCGGGGCCCACGGGGCGACTCGGTAGGATGTTGGCGTGGAAGTGGCACCTGTGGGGTGAGTCACTGTGGCATCGCCAGCACCCCTCGCCTATCTCACCAGCATCTTCCTTCCTTCTCCTCTCTCCTGTCTTCCTTTTCCCACCCATCCCCTGCCTTTTCTCCTCTGTATGCTCTGCTTCGCTCACGCGCTCTCTCGCCCCCCTCCCCCCCACGCTCTCTCCTGTCCCCCCTACCCCACTCACTGTCCGCTGGAGGCCCCCAGCGTTGCTGTTGAGCTGGGTCCCACCCCGGCGTCGCCGGGCATCTCTCTGCCACCAGAGCTGGGCTTGTGCCACTGGACCGAAGCCGGTGGCGTTCTCTGAGCTCAGCTTGGCCCGGGGGGTGGCTGGGAGGGGGCAGGGTGTGATCTGGCGGGAAGCGGGGAGCCACGTAGCAAGGATGATCAAGAAGCAAGTTCAGAGGGGTGATCTCCCCCTGCCCCCCTGGCACACTTCTGGGGCGCTGCAGACTGAGCTACGGGCACTCTGCATGAGATCCTGCTCCCCCCCCCCCACACACACACCTGTGGCTGTGCCCAGCACCAGCCTGGGAAGCCATCCGGGTGGCGTGTAATTCGAGAGGCACGTTATTTTTCTGGGTCTTTTCTCTGGCTGGCAGGGTAGGTGGGTGAGTGTGGTCTAGTGGTTAGAGCAGGGGAACTGGCTGTCAGGACTCTTGGGTTCTCTCCCCAGCTCTGGGAGGGAAGTGGGGTCTAGTGGTTAGAGCAGGGGACCTGGCTGTCAGGACTCTTGGGTTCTCTCCCCAGCTCTGGGAGGGAAGTGGGGTCTAGTGGTTAGAGCAGGGGACCTGGCTGTCAGGACTCTTGGGTACTCTCCCCAGCTCTGGGAGGGAAGTGGGGTCTAGTGGTTAGAGCAGGGGGGGGGGATCTGAGTTCTGTTTCCAGCTCTGCAGCCGTGTACGTTTGGGCCAGTTCCCATCCCCTGTCTGTGCCACTGTTCCCAACTCTGCAGAACCTCCTAGCGGAAAGGTTAACGGGATCGCGTTGCTGTGGGTGTGCCGGGCTCTGTCGGCGGGAGTGACCAGCAGGGGGCAGGATTGGGGGTGGAGGTACTGCCGCTTGGACCAGCTGCTCAGCCCCCTGGTGGCTGCTTCTGTCCTTAAAATATAAGGGGAAATTGCAGGGAGTCGCCCCAGGACGGGCTGGTGTCCATCTGCCGGGGGGTGGGGTGGGGGGGGTGGGACGGGGGGGGTGTATCTTTTCCATCCAGCTCTTTGTGACCCTCTGATGGAAGGTGCTTTTCCTGATTCAGTGTCATCCCTCCCAGGGACACACCCGAGATCGCCCAGTGAGGGATAGAACCCAGGAGTCCTGGTGCCCGGCCCTCCTATTCCAGCCACAAGACCCCACTCCCTTCCCTGATCCGGGGATAGAGCCCAGAAGTCCGGTCTCCCAGCCTCCTCTACTCTAACCATTAGACCCTACTCTCTTATCTGGGGTTAGAACCCAGGAGTCCTGATGCCCATCCCGCCTATTCCAGCCACGAGACCCCACTCCCTTCCCTGATCTGGGGATAGAGCCCAGAAGTCCGGTCTCCTAGACCTGTATTTATTGCCAAGACCTGTATTTATTGCTAGACCTGTATTTATCGTCCCTGCAGTCCTGAGCCCAGAGAGCTGGAGACCTTGGTGTAATGGGCACTAAGAAATGCCCGTGGTTCTGGGTCCCTTTTCCGCATGAATCTCCATGTCCGGTGGGGTGCGTCTACGATTGTGGGGCAGTCGGGTCCTCTGTTGACCCCCCTCTCCAATCCCACAGCCGGAGGGCTGGCGAAGTTTCCATGAACCAACGCCTCCAGCTTCCAGCATGGCGCCCGAGGCCTGGCATCCAAGCCAGTTGGCCGGGCCCAGCTCCCGCTGGGCAGAGCTGGGCCTGGGGGCAGGGAGCTCGGTGAGGGTCAGTGAGGTTGGCAGGTGGGAGCAGCAGAGGAGGGTGGGCAGGTCACTTGTGGGGGGGGCAGTGGTCTGGACTCCTGCTCCCCTTGCCACTGCCCCCCCAGTTCTGACCCTGGAGCCCAGCAAGGGGTGGGAGGAAGTCACTTGGGGTGGGGTGTCTCTGGGAGGGTAAATGGTTCCCACTCCCCCCCAGTTCTGTCCCCTGTTACTTTCCTGCCAGTTTGTCTCCCCCCACGCTTCTGTCCCATGTCTCAGCCCCCACCCTGTCCTCTATGTCCCACACCGGGTCCCCTCCCCCTGCTCAATGTGTGCCCCATAACCCAGCAGGGAGGAGGTGTGGGGGGGGTCCCTCCAGCTCAGCAAAGGGGCTTGACCCCCCCCCAGATGGGCAAACTCCCTCACCCTGTCTGGTCCCTGCCCCCTGCTGGCGGGGGGCGGGTGGGGGAATGGGGGGCTCAGGCCCGGCCGGGACGCCCTATGGGACCACCCTGTTCCCCAGCCAAAATTAGTTGGGCCCTGGGAGCAGCAAACAGGAAAAGGCCCTGGCCTGGCCGCTGCCTCCCCCGCCCCTCCCCTCGCCCCGCTCACGTAGGCCCAGCCGGGAGAGGGGCCTCTGGGCTGCCTGCCAAGGGCCGGGAGGGGGGGCGGGGGGCCGGGCAAGCAGGGGTCAGGACTTCTTCAGCCCCCTCCCCCCCCACCGGCACCAGTGCTGTCTGTGGAGGGCCAGACCCCTGCCCCTCCAGAGAAGAGGCTAACCCCCCCCAATAGACCCCCCCACCCTTCCCAGGATTATCCCAGTTCTGCCCAGCCACATTTCCCTAGCGGAGGGCTTCCCGTGGGTACAGGGCACCCCCCGACTATGGGGGGAGCTGGGACTTGGGGGGACGGACGGGACTTTCCCAAGGTCACAGAGCAGAAAGAACCCAGGATTCTTAATTACCCCTCCCCCCATTACGAGATCTCACTTCTCTCCCAGAGCTGGGAGAGAACCCAGGAGTCCTGACTCCCAGCCCCTCCTGGCTGTAACCACTAGACCTCGCTCCTGCCTTATCTGAGACAGAGGTGGGACAGCCCAGACGCACTGGGTGCCCTGAATGGTGAATGGTTGGGTGGCAAATTCCGAGCCGAGCTGCCCTTAAACGAAAATAACAGCCAGTGCTCCTTTCCCCACCCCATCGCTGGATAACGTATCCAGGGGGCCGGGAGCTGGGTTTGGGATCCAGAAGGCGCTGACTCTGGTTCTGGGTGCGGCTCGGTTCTCGTTCTCGTTCGGCTTGGATCTGGTTTTGATCTGGGTCTGGTTCGGATCCGATTCTGCTTTGGCTTGGAGCTTGTTTTAAGCTGGGTCTGGTTCTGACCCAGTTTGGTGCTGGCTCAGTGTCATTCATTCCCACGCAGTGTTCTTGGCTCCGTCGGCTGGGCCGTGGAATTGGGCCGAGGAAAGGTTGTGTTGCCTGCCAGTGTCGGCCAGCCGTCCCTCCCGCTCCCGGCACCGCCGGGATGCAGCAACGTGGCCCGTGGCCATCTCGGCTCGTGCTGTTGGCTTGGCACCCGGGCACGGGCTGCATGGGGCTGGGCGTGGCACGGGATCGGATGGGAAACCCAGGACAGATGCTCTGTCGGCTGTGTGACGTGGTATCGGTCATTCAGTAGGGGATGCTCTCCCCTCCCAGTCAGTGCTGGCCCCAGTGCCCCAGCACGGTCTCTTCCTCTTGCTGTGAGGTTACAGCTGTCAAGCCCCAGCCCAGAGGTGGCTGCATTTCAGTGTTGGGTGAGGGATCACTGTACCAACCAGTCCTTAAAATGCTGTACGTGTGTGTGTGTGCGCCGCTGCACAGCCGTGTGTCATAGGTCCTGTACTGCTCCCAGCTAATGGGGATTCTCCGTTCTCGTTTGGAGCAGGGGAAAAGGGTCCGTCTCCTGCTGTGGCTGGAGTTGATGTGCCCTTTGCCAGGGCGGGTGGGGCTTCCTCCTCCCCCTCCTGCTGGCTCTCTCACTGGCCAGGGCACCACCTTCCTCCTGTGCCGGTGGAGGGGGGGTGTCTCCCCACCCTTCTCTGCTGCCCCCAGGAGGGGAGGGGGCTGGGCAGGTGCTGAGGGTGATTGAGGGCAGGGAAGGGGGTGGTGCCAGCCCTTGCTGGATGAGGGGGGCAGTGGGGCTTCACACCCCTTAGCCCTTGGGAGGCCTCAGGTACAGGGCCCCCTCCCCCACACTGCACTGCGCCCCCTCGGGTGGGGCAGCGGGGACAGAACGCTCCCAGCCCAGAGTGGCCGAGGGCTCTGGCTTTTTGCTCGCTCAGGGGTAGATGGGGGGAGCAGGTGAAAGGGGGTCCTGGAGAGGGTCTAAGAGGCCAAGCAGGCTGGGGGAGGTGGGAGGGGGTTGATCAACATAAAAGACCCCTGCCCAGGGCTATATTGTTTGAGGAGGGGGGCTGGGGAATAGGCTGTAGGGGCCGATCCCCCCCAGGGGGTGGCTGTAGACTGTAAGGGGAGGGGAGGATTTTGCCCCGGAGTGGGGGGTGATCCTGCCCAAGAGGGTGGAGCTGGTTGGAAGGGACCTGCTGGGGTTGGGGGGGAGGGTTGGTTAGCAGAGTGGTTGGGCTGGAGGCTGACAGCTCCCCCCACCCCCACCCCCCTGCCCTTCCCGCAGCTCCAGGCAGCCAGGCCTGGCACCCAGCCCGGTGTGCAGAACACGGTGTCCTGGACAGGCTGCCAAGTGCACGTGCGGACGGCACGCGGGGGAGGGGAGGGGAGGGGAGCTCTGCTGTGGAGGGAGGGGAGCTGTGATTTAGGGAGTCTGTGTTGCGGGGAGGTGTGATGGGAGGGTCTCTGCCGTGGGGGGACGGGAGGAGCTGTGATTGGCGGGGGTCTGTGCTATGAGGCAGAAGGGAGAGGCGTGACTTGAGGGGATGTGTGTGATTTTGAAATCTGGGGTACCCTCGGGGGGGGCAGGTGCCCTTTTATGGGGAGTGAAGGACCCGTGGGGGGAGGCGTGGGGCAGAGGTGCTGTATTTCATGGGCAAATGGTGGAGAAGTGGGTTAACCCACCCAAGGACTTTTCCCACACTGGGTGCCGGACAGGGCACTGCTCTGGGGAGGCTCATAGCTCTGGGGTCCCACACTGGGTGCTGGGCAGGGCACTGCTCCGGGGAAGCTCACAGCTCCAGCATTGAGCCCATGCTGAGAAGCAAAGCTCCCTGCTGAGCCCTGGCCTGCAGTGAGGGTGTGAAATCGAGGGGCACACACATTTGAGGGCGAGTGTCCCGGCCTCTGAGCTGTGTGTTCCTGGGGCTGGGCCACCTGCTGTCACGTGCCCAGTGCGGTAACTCACAGCTGCCAGAACATAACATGGGCTGGGTGGAATGCTCCCTCCCTCACACAAGCTTCATCTGGGGCAGGTGTCAGGGCACTGCTGTGGGGAAGCTCACAGCCACACATCTCAATCCCCCCCTCCCCCCCCTGCACACGCTTGCTCTGGGACAGGCATCAGGGCACTGCTGTGAGGAAGCTTGCAGCCATGCCTCCCTCCCCAATGAGCCCCCACTCCTGCAACTGCCCTCCCAGGGCCCCGCGGTACCCGTCGGACAGAGAACTCTGCAACTCGGGACATGAGTGAGCGGCTCCCCCCGATGGCAGGGCTCGGTGCCCTCCTGCCCCACACTGCCCCCCCCAGATTCTAGCCCCCTTCCGTGGCTTAGACCTTTCCCCACTGGAGCATCCCCAGCTGGGGGGCTAGCTTGTGCCGCCCCCTTGTACCAGGTTCCCACCTGTGCCCACAGCTGGCTCCGAGCCAGGCCCCGAACATGTCCCCCCACTCCCCCCCACCCCGTGGCACGTCGCTGGCGGCTAAGATGCTGATACCTCTGGCAAAGCCCTGCGTTCTCCCCGGGCGCCCGGCTCCCAGGGTGGGGTGGGAAGTGGGCAAAGGGCCAAGGACAGAGGCAGAACAGGCTGTTCTCTCACGGGCCGACGGAGAGGGGGCGGGCTCGGCAGCTGGGCCCCGCGGATTGTGGGAGGGTCCGGGGATTGTGGGAGGGTCCGGCCAGAGGAGGGGGTGCCAGGCAGGAGGGGGTGCCAGGCTGGAGTTGCACCAATGATGCCGGGGGCACAGAGACGGGGGATGGTTTGGGTAGGAGCTGGGGAGAGTGGACTGGTACTGGGATATAGGGGTGGGCAGCAGGTACCATGATATTTGGGAATATGGGGTTGGGCGTGGGAAGGGGGCTGTGGGCTATTGGGGGGGTGCTGGGGTTGGGCATGGGAAGGGGGCTGTGGGCTATTGGGGGGGTGCTGGGGTTGGGCGTGGGAAGGGGGCTGTGGGATATTGCAGGGGGGGGGGGGGGGGGGGGGGGGGGGGGGGGGGTGCTGGGGTTGGGCGTGGGAAGGGGGCTGTGGGATATTGCAGGGGGTGCTGGGGTGGGGAACAGGAAGTGGGCTGTGGGCTATTGGGGGGTGCTGGGGTTGGGCGTGGGAAGGGGGCTGTGGGATATTGGGGGTGCTGGGGTGAGGCGTGGGTGGGGGCACTGGGATATTGGGGGTACAGAGGTGGGGAGTGGGCAGGGGGCATTAGGATATTGGGGAGCACTGGGGTGGGGAGTAGGAAGGGGCTGTGGAATATTGGGGATGCTGGGGTTGGGAGTGGGAAGGGGTGGTGGGATATTGGGGGGCACAGGATGGGGAGTGGGCAGGGGGCACTGGGATATTGGGAGGTGCTGGGGTGGGGAGTAAGAATGGGGCTGTGGAATATTGGGGGCGCTCAGGTTAGGAGTGGGAAGGGGGTGGTGGGATATTTGGGTGGGCACAGTGTGGGGAGTGGGCAGGGGCACTGGGATATTGTGTGTGTGTGTGGTGGGGGGGAATGGTCCTAGTCTCTTTCCTATGCATAGTTGGCTTAGACTCCTCTCCCCTCTCCTCCCCTCCCCTCCCCACACACTGCCCCCCTCCCCTCGAGGTTCCCCCACATCTCCCTTTGCCCCCTCCTCTGATCCCCACTCCTAATATTAACCCCATGCGGGACCTGGTTCTGAGCAACCCTGCAGCTGCTGGGGGGTGGTGTGTGTTGGGGGCTTCCTGGTTGCAGGGGCTCTGGGGGGTGTCTCTGTGCTGAGGGCTGCCCTGGCCCCCCGCTCTGTCCCCCCTCTCCCACAAGGATATTCTGAGGGGCCCTGGGAGGAGCTGGGTGAATGGGATTTTGGGTGACCCTGTTTGGCTGAGTACAATCATGGGTGAGGGGAGCTGCGTCTGGCGTGGGGGTTTGGGGGGGGGCTAGTGGGATCAGAGCATGGCGCCTTCCTGCCCCTCCCAAAGTCAAACCAGTCAGCCCTACAGCTGGAAATAGAACCCAGGAGTCCTGGTGCCCAGCCCTCTGCTCTAACCACTGGACCCCACTCCCCTCCCAGAGCCGGGGTAGAACCCAGGCGTCCTGCTTCGCTCTGGGGCCTGGGGTGTGTGTGGCCTGCATGTGGGTGGCGGGGGGGGGGGGGGGGACGTGCATCCCCACGGAGCAGGTGCCCTGACCTGGCGGCCTGTCGTCCCCCCCCCCCCTCCTCGGCAGCCGGTCTGCGACGGAGCTGCGCAAGGAGAAGTCGCGGGATGCGGCGCGATGCCGGAGGAGCAAGGAGACCGAAGTGTTCTACCAGCTTGCCCACACCCTGCCCTTCGCCCGGGGGGTCAGTGCCCACCTGGACAAGGCCTCCATCATGCGCCTCACCATCAGCTACCTGCGGATGCACAAGCTCATCACCTCGGGTGAGCCCCCTCCCCACCTTTGGGTGCCGGGACGTTCCCGGCTCAGCGGACAGCTCTGCCCGCTCCCACGCAGCCGGGTGGGCTCGATGGGACCGCAGGCTTCAGGGCGCCGGTGGGGTCGGGGTCAGGAAGGGGATCCCGTCCCCTCCGGGCATCGTGGGGGAGACTCGGCTGGTGCGGAGGTGTCCGGGATTGGCCATTACTGGGCCTGGGCTGGAGGGGCCCAGGGGTCCGGGGATGGAGAGAGATACCAGGCTGGATGGGCCCCTGATGTAGGGCAGCAGGGGCCTCTTATCACTGGGGGAGCGTTGTGGGGCAGACTGGAACCTGCCCTGCCCCCCCGGCTGCCCCGGGGCGGGGGGCCCGCCCTGACCCCTGTGCTTGCGGCCGGCAGAGGAGTGGCGAGGGCAGCCGGAGCAGGTGGACGCCTGTTACCTGAAGGCCCTGGACGGTTTCGTCATGGTGCTGACGGAGGAGGGCGACATGGCTTACCTGTCGGAGAACGTCAGCAAGCACCTGGGGCTGACCCAGGTGAGTGTGGGTGGGTGGGTGGGTTTAGCCGGCACCGCCCGCCATCGGCAGGGAGCAGGGCTGGGGGCTCCATCCCCATCCCCGCTCTGGGATCCCCTTCGCGGCCGCTGGGGATGGGGTGGGAAAGGGGGGTGGGGGCGGGGGGAGTGTTAATCCATCGCCCTGCTTGGGTATGCAGGGGCCCGCGGGGGAGGCGCTGAGTGTGTAGCCGGGGCCAGGGGGCAGGTCTGGCATAGGGTGACCCCCCCCCCCTTCCAACACTGGCTGTGATTTTCCCCTGACCCCCCCCCCCAGCTGGAGCTGATTGGACACAGCGTCTTCGATTTCATCCACCCCTGTGACCAGGAGGAGCTGCAGGATGTGCTGAGCCCCCGGCAGGGTGAGTGCTCTCCCCCAGCCCCCCACTATCCCATATGCACCCTGTCCAATCAGCTCCCCTTTGTAGTTGCCCCCTCCCCATCCTGGAGCCCCAGTCACCAACACCTGACCTCTCACCCCCACTGTCACACACGGCCCCTGTAACCGCCCCCACACTCACCCCACTCTTGTGATTACCCCCAGTCCCACAGCCTCCACTGCCCGTCCCTGCCCCCCAGTTGCCCCCCCCCACGGGCACCAGCCTCCGCCACCGCCTAACACTGCCCTGCCCTCTCCCCTGCCGCAGGCTTCTCTAAGAAGAAGGACGTGAAGACCGAGCGCAGCTTCTCCCTGCGCATGAAGAGCACCCTGACCAGCAGGGGGCGCACTGTCAACCTCAAGTCGGCCACCTGGAAGGTGAGGGATGCGGGGGGGGGGATCTAGAACAGCTGGGGGATGGGGGGATGGAATTGGGTTCTGGAGCATTCCATGGCTCCATGGAAATCAGCTCTAGAACAGTAGTGGAAGGGTTGCTATGGAAACAGTATTGAAGCAGCTGTGAGAACAGGGTTCTAGGACAGTACCAGGGTCTTATGGAAATGGGGTTCTAGAACAGGGGTGGGGGGGTCGGCATGGATATATGGTTCTGGGACAGTGGTCGGTCACTGTGGAAACAGGGTTCCAGAACAGCGACCGGCCTAGAGCTGTAGAAACGGGGTTCTAGAGCCACACTGGGTGAGATGAGAATGGGGACTGAGGAGGTGGGCATGGATACAGGTTTCTGGAGCAGTGGGGGATGGGCCACTGCAGAAACAGGATTCTAGAGGACTTGCTGGGGGCACTATGGGAAGGTAGTTCTGAAATGGGGTGGGGGCTGTTGACGTGGATACGGACTTCTGGAACAGTTGTAGGTGGGCTTCTATGGAAACAGGGTTCTAGAGCGGCAGGAACTACTGTATAAATGGGGTTCTAGAACAGTAGTAGACAGGTTGCAATGAACACAGGGTTCTAGATCAGCAGAGGAATGCGGAAACGGAGTTCTAGAATAGGGTGGAGGAAGTTGGCATGGATACAGGTTTCCGGAGCAACTGCAGGTGGGTCACTATGGAAACAGGGTTCTAGAAGAGAAACCGGGGGTTGCTACGACAACAGAGTTCTAGAGCAGCAGCAGGAGAGTTACTGGGGGATGGTGGTTTTGGAACAGCGGTGGGCGGATCGCCATGGAGACAGGATTCTAGACCCCCCCCCCAGCTTGGTGTCCCAAGGCGGAGCCTTGTGAGTGTTGGGGGTGGAGCTTGGAGCAAGAGGGCTCTGATTGGCCACCCCCCCATCCTTCCCCCCAGGTGCTGCATTGTGCTGGCCACTTGCGGTCCTACACCCCGGTGCGGGAGGGCCCGGAGGAGGGAGAGGAGGGGTACGCGGAGCCCCCCCTGCGCTGCCTGGTGCTGATCTGCGAGGCCATCCCCCACCCCGCCAACATCGAAACCCCCTTGGACAGCAGCACCTTCCTCAGCCAGCACAGCATGGACATGAAATTCACCTACTGTGACGAGAGGTGAGGGGGCGTGGCCGCCGGGGGCCCCGCCCTCGCCCCGCCCCTCCTGGGGGCTCTGCCTTCACACTTCCCTCCCCCGCCCCACGAGGGAGCCGGCTCTCACGCGGTCCCATCCCATCCTTGCCCCCATGAGAGGTCCTGCCCCCATCCTTGCCCCATAGGGGTCCCCATCCCCATGAAGGGCCCCTCCCTCCCCACATGCTTTCTCCTCCCCCACCTTTCCCCCTCCCCATCCCCACCTCTGAGGGCTCAGCCCTGCCCCAGGGACCCCTTCCTTTCCCCACCTTGACCCCACAAGAGGCTCCTTCCCCACCCCCACGAGGACACAACTCTGGCCTTGGGAGGCCCTGATCCACCCCCACTGCTTCCCCCTCCCCCACCTTGCTCTCCTGGAGGGAGGGGGTTCTTTCTTGGGGTCCCCTCTCTTCACCCTCATGCTGCTCTTTGGCCCACCCAAGGGTCTCCTCTGCTCCTCTCTGTCCATCCTCTCCCCCACCTTTCTCCCTCTCGCAGACCCCCACTTGAAGTCCCCCCTCCCCCAGCGCTCTGATGCTACAATGGCTCTGTGGGTGGCAACTGTTCTGGGGTACTGGGGCACCACCCCTGTGCCGGGGGAACCCCTGGCCTGATGTTGCTTTGGGTTGGGGGCGGGGGATTACGCAGAGCTACGTGGGATCCAGCCGGGATGGGGAGAGGGGTGTCTTGCTGATTGGAAACACACACCCCCCCCCCGGTCTCCCGGGCAGGATCGCGGAGGTGGCGGGGTACACGCCCGACGAGTTACTGGGCTGCTCCATCTATGAGTACATCCACGCCCTGGACTCCGATGCCGTCAGCAAGAGCATCCACACCCGTAAGTGACCTCCAGCCTCCCCCCGCCCCCGTCCTCTGCGGCCCCTGCAACGGCAGAGGGAGCCCCGGAGCCTCCTGCTCCGAATGCCCCCCTCCTCCGCTGCAGCTAAAGGAGACTCCCCATTAGCTGTGAGCAGTCCTGGGGCTATGACGCACGGCTGAGCAGTTCCCAATGCATCCAGCAGGGGGCGAAAGAGCACCTCCGAGTCAGTGCGTTCTATTATATGGGAGATGGTGTGCCAGATCCGACCAATGGGCCCATCTAGCTTGGGGCACACACCCCTCAGTCAGACCATGGCCCATCCAGCCTGGTATTCGGCCCCCCTCCCCCCCGTCAGTGCAAGAGCCTCCTTCCCTGCAGCCCCCCATCTCTCGCCATCCGTCCGTCCATGCCGTCTCTCTCAATCTGTCTGTCCATCCTCTCTCTCTCTGTGTTCGTCCCGTCCTGTCTCTCCCTCTCTCTCCCGCCCAGTCCTGTCCTGTCCTGTCCCGTCCCATGTCCTGTCCTGTCTCTCCCGTCTTGTCCTGTCCCATCCTGCCCCGTCCCGTTCCGCCTGTGTCTCCCATCCTGTCCTGCCTTGTCCCAGTCAGTCTCTCTCCTGTCTCATCCCATTTCTCTGTCCTGTCCCATCCCTCCTGTCCCGTCTCTCTCTCCGTCTGTCTCTCTGTCCAGTCCCTCCCCGCGGGCGGCTCTGACCCCTCCGCTCCTCCCCGCAGTGCTGAGCAAAGGGCAGGTGGTGACGGGCCAGTACCGCTTCCTGGCCAAGAGCGGGGGCTACCTGTGGGCCCAGACGCAGGCCACTGTTATCTCCAACAGCAAGAACTCCCAGCCCGAGAGTGTCGTCTGCGTCCACTTCGTCCTCAGGTGGGAGGGGCCGGGATGTTGGGCCGGGGGGGAAAGGGGCCCGTCTGTTGGATGCGGGTGGAGTCGTGTCCCGGGGCCCCCCAGAGACGTGCAGCAGCTCTGAGGAGAGCGGGGTCATGGACCACCCAGCACCTGGCCACTCTTGCTCAGTATGGCCCCCGCTGGCTCAGCCCAGGGTCGGGGGCGATATTGGGACCAGCTGAGATGGGCGGGCTGATGCTGGGATGGAGGGGCTCGGGGGCTGACTCCAAGGACCAGCTGGACTTGCCTCAGTGGGAGCTCAGCCGGGGAGGGTGATGCAGGAGCCAGCTCAGGGTAGGGGGGTGCTCGACTCAGCTGGGATGAAGGTGACACTGGGCCCAGCTCGGTCCATATCCCCTACTTGTGCTGGTAGGAGCTGAGCTGTAGCAAACCAGCGGCTTCCTGGCCCTCCTGCGGTTGGGTACTTTCTGGCCACTTGGCCTCCCCCAGACAGAACCCAGATTGCCTTGCGCCAGCGGAGCTGAAAGAGAATCCCCATCAGCTTCCGGCAGTATAGGGGCCATGAGACACAGCAGAGTGCCCCCGACTGCGTCCTGCAGCGCTGGAGCTGGTGTGAGCTGCTGGCCCCTGACACCTATGGAAACAGCGCCCTTTGCCTTCCCCCCGCCACTCTGTTTCCCTTACAGCCAGGTGGAGGAGACGGGCGTGGTTCTGTCGCTGGAGCAGACCGAACGCCAGGGTGAGGGGCGGCGCCTGCCCCCGGAGCCCGACCCTGCCCGCCAGGCCAACGGGAGCCCCGAGGAACCAGAGCCAGACACTGGGGAGACCATCCTCAACCTCAGCTTCGGTACAGAGCATGGGAAAGGGGAGCCCATCGCGCTCCAGTTAGTTCCTGAGGGGAGTGGGGTATGGGGTGGGTGTGCTGGTTCTCCAGGAGGCCGGGGGAGTGAGCCAGGTGGAGTGGTGGGGGTGGGGGAGGGTTGGTCGGGTATGGGATGGGGTGTCAGTGGGGTTTGTAGCAGCAGAGATGGGGTGCAGGGCGAGGTTTCGGGGCGGTGGGGAGTGGGATGTTGGAGGTGGAGGGCGGGCGGCAGAGACGGGGCATGAGACAGGGCATTGGGGCAGTAGTGGGGGTCGGGCAGCAGAGGTGGGGATTAGGGGGGCAGAGGTGGGGCACGGGGCAGGGCATCAGGGGTAGTAGGGGCAGGGCGGGGTGTTTGGGGGTCTCTGGGGCAGGGGGTATGTGGGGCGCAGGGCATTGTGTTGAGGGCGGTGGGATGCGGGGTGACAGATGGGGTGTAGTGTTTGGGGGTCTCCGGGTTCTGGGGTAGGAAGGAGGGGGCCAGGGCTGGCAGAGGTGGGGCACGGAGCAGGGTGTCTAGGGTAGTGGGGCAGGGTGGGGTGTTGGAGTGGTGGGGGTGGGGCATCAGAGGTGGGCAGGGGGCAGAGGTGGGGTATGGGGCAGGATATTGGGATTTAGTAGAGGTGGGGCATGGTGTTGGGGTAGTGGCATGTAGGGTGGCAGAGGTGGGGTGCTGTGCGCAGTGTTTGGGGGTCTCCGGGTGCTGGGGCAAAGTGAAGGGGGCTGGGGGGGCAGGAGGGCTGGCAGAGGTGGTGCGCGGTGTTTGGGGGTCTCTGGGTGCCGGGCAAGTAGGGGGTGGGAGGGCCGGCAGAGGTGGGGCAAGGGGTAGGGTGTCGAGGGCGGGGTGACAGGTGGGGCGCGGTTTGGGGGGGCCGGGGGGTGTGAGGGGCACTGCTCAGAGAGCCGGGTGCCAGTCGCCCCCGTGACCCTCCGCTCCCCCCAGAGCGGCACGGCCCCCGGCTCCTGGCCTTCCTGCGCCCGGCCCACGTGAGCGAGGGGGAGCTGCAGCGTGACCCGCGCCGGTTCTGCAGCCCCGACTTGCACCGGCTGCTGGGGCCCATCTTCGACCCGCCTGGAGCCCGCGCCAACGGGGAGGGGGCCCCGCGGGCACGGTCCTCCCCCCGCCCGCCCGAGGCCGGCTTGCCGCCCCAGGACTCTGCCAAGAGTGCCGCCCCGGTAAGAAGCCTGCTGTGGGGCAACAAGGGGGCTGGGCTAGTAGGGGAGAAAAGGGGGGGGGCTTATGAATGGGGGGAAGGGCTGCATCACATTTGGGGGGGCAGAGGATGTGTCTGGGGTTAGTGAGGGAATGGGGGGGCTGGCTGTGCTTCTAGGGGGCAGCAGGGGTGATGGGGGTGGAGTTTGCAGGAATGGGGGGTGACGGGGACAGCAAGGGGCAAAGGGGGCTGTAGGGGGACTGTGTCAGTGGGGGAGTAGCAGGGGAAGTGGGGGGGCCGCGTCCGGGGGGGGAATGGGGGGCAGGGAGCTGTGTCCATGGGGGCTGCAGGGGGTCTATCAGGGGAGTGGAGTGGGGGTGGGGCTGCACCGCTGGGGAGCTGTGGGGCTGTGTCTGTAGGGGGAAGGGCTGAGAGGGCTGCAGGAAAGGGAATGGGGCTGGGGGAGTGCGGGACAAGGACCGGGGTGGCATGAACGGGGGCCAGGTGCCATGAAGAGGGGGCTCCCAGTTGGCTCCCCGCCCTCCAGCCCTGTTCCCCTTCTCCCCCAAGGCCGAGCTGCTCTTTGACGTGGAGAACGTTCAGAAGCTCTTCGCCTCCACCCAGGAGGCCGTGGAGACGGCACTGCAGGTACTGGGGGCGGGAAGGGGGCAGCCACCCCTATTGCCAGGGACTTTGTCCCCCTGGGGCTCCCAGGCCCCGCTCCCCTGCCCCCCAGGCAGACGGTTGCCCCGCTGGACACAGCCAGGGAGTCACCCCTGAGATTCAAACCTTTACTGACTCCTGGATCCTCACGTGATCCCACCCCAGTCCTTATATAAGCAGCCCCTGTGCCTTGGCCTAGAGGTGGCTGCATCTTGGTGCTGGGCGGAGGATCCCTTTATAAACAGCTGATATGCCCTCACCCCAGAGGTGGCTGCATCTTGGTGCTGGGCTGCTAATGCCACACTCCCCCTGCAGGATTACGAAGGGTTCGACCTGGAGATGCTGGCTCCATACATCTCGATGGACGACGATTTCCAGCTCAGCAGCACCGACCAGCCCCCATGGCTGGCCGAGAAACGGGGTGATCCTGCTGCGACCAGGGGAACAGGTCCCCCGCCACCACCTGCCTCGCCCCCATTGCGTCCTCGCTCCAGCAGCTTCCATGGGGTGTCTGCTCGTGAACCTGACCTACCCGGCCTGCCCCGCTGGGGCAGCGAGACCAGCCTGAGCCAACCCCGGTCCCTCCAGCCCCCAGAGGAGGAGCCCATGGAGCTGGAAGGGCCTGCGTCGCCACCGACAGCGCCCCTAGGGGTCAACCACAGGGATCACCCAGCCTCACACCTGGGGGCTAGGAAGAGGTGAGAGGGTGGGGCAAAGGGGATGGGGTGGGGAATGAACCACAGGGGCCATGAACCTGGTATCCCCCCATCTCCCCATCTCTGCCACCCCAGATCAGACCCATGCGCCCATGTAGCCTGGCACCCCCCCATCCATATTTTAACTATAGTAAATTCCTGCAGCAAGGAGTCCCACAGGTAAATTCTTTGCTTCCTTTGGTCCCTGTGAGGTTTGTCTCCTTGTAGCTGCCCTGCCCTTATTCTTGCACCAGGAGTGAGGTGAGCAGGGAGGGTCCATCCAGCCAGCTCAGTGCCAGCCAACTTCTTACATGCCCCACTTTCCCCCCACACATTCCAGGGCCTTGGAGCTAAACCTGGAGGAGGAAGGGGCTGACTTCCTGGAGGCGGCGCCCCTAAAACGTGCCCATGGCTCCGAGCCCGACAGCTTCCTGCTGCCTTCCCTTAACCTGGTATGTCTGGTGCCCTGGCACTGGGGTGGAGGACAACAACTGGCCTGAGAGATTCAGGGACATGGGGCAGAGTGGGTGGGAGGCAGGCCAGGGGTATCAGGGAAAGGATGGAGTAAGGGGTCAGGTTGGAGTGCTTGGGAAGGGGGCCGGGTGGGGGAATGGGATGGGAGGGAGGGAGTAGATTGGGGTTAGGCTGGGTGGGGGGCAGCCTATGGGAATTGGGGGGACGGGGTTGGGTGATCTCCTGTCCTCTCAGCTGCACCCCCCCACCCCCCAGGGTTTCCTGCTGAGTGTGGAGGAGGGGCTGAACGCCGGGGGCCCCCGGGGCAGCATGGTGCTAGGACGGAAGCTGCTGGCCCTGGAGGAACCAATGGGTGAGTGCCGCACGGCGTGGGGGTGGGGCTCAGTCTGAGTCATAGTGGGGGAGGCTGGGGCATCCCCGGGGGGCAGGGCAGCAGATCCGACCACCCACAGCCCATCTTGTCCCCCCAGGAGGCACCTCGCTGCAGATTCTCCCCCAGGATGGATTTCCTTCCTGAGCCCCCACCGGGGAGCCACTGCTGCCCCGATGCGGGAGGGTAGGGACCTGCTGCCCTAGCTAAAGTCACGGCAGATGCTGCTCCCACGGGGGACCAGCCTGGCCCCCTGCCTCTGGGGCTATGGGAGAATCAACCGTAACGATTGTGCAGGGCATGCACAATTGAGCAGTTCTGGCTGCATCCAGCAGATGGCAGCAGCACACTTACTGGCTAGCTCCTTGCACGCTTTGGCTGTGACTCTTTGTTTTGCCTGCCTTGTTAACCAGTGGAACTCCCTGCCACATGAGATTAATCCCCACCCCCTCTTTTTTTTCTGTCCTCTCCTAACCACCCCCCATCCCATTACCTTTCACACCCTGCATCCCACCCCCTTCAGCCCTGCTGGGCGACATGCTGCCCTTCGTGGTGGATGGTCCAGCGCTCTCCCAGCTGGCCCTGTACGACGGTGAGGATGAGGCCTTGGAACAGAGTGGCGGGCACTTCCAGCCGGGCGAAGAGCTCCTGGGGGAGCTGGACCAGGCCACCTGATGGGTCGGGCCCCCACCCGACGCTCCCACTCCATAGATGGGACAAACAGAACCAAACCCAACCCCAGCCCGTTCCGGGGGGAGGAACCTGCCTCTCCCCGCCATCCCCCACACCAGCAACACTCACCTGCTCGCCTTCCCCTCCGGGGCCCAGAGAATGCTACCTACCTCAGCCCTGCCCCCCAGACCGAGCCTTCTGTTCCTTAAGCCTCTTCCCCTCCAAAAAAATATTGGGGTGCATGAGGGAGGGGAGTTGACCAGCCCTGCCCTGGGGTGTGGGGAGGGGCGAATCTCCCTTTCATGCTGTCCACCCCTTAATGGTGCTGGGGGAAATCTGCCCCCTAGGGGTGACACTGGGGATTGCAATAGAAGCCAACCAAATGGGGCAGGGGGCAGTCCCCCAATTCCTCCCCCCTCTTGCCCCATGCTCTGGAGCCGTGTCTGGATCAGAGAGCCAGGCTGTCGTGCTGGCTGGATCTTGGCCCCAATTGGGGCGGATCCTGATAGCTGGGGGATGTTGGCGGGGTTGGTGATGGGGTACGGACAGTCTCCTTCGTCCTTCCGGTGCAGGGTGGGGTCCCTTCCCCCAATGTGGTTGGGGGGGTCGGGATTGGCTCTCCCTATGTTCCGCTCACCCCACCCCACCGGACCCTCCCTTCTTTCCCTGTCCTTGCTGGGACCACCCTGGGGGGTTGGGGTTGCTCATACTCCCCCACCCCCCTCCAACCCCCTGTCCTTACCCAGAATCTTCCTGGTGCCTCTTGCCACATTTACCTCAGCAGTGCCATCTCCTCTTGCCCCCCGGGGGGGAGAGGAAGCACAGTGTGGGGGCCGAGGGATGACACCCCATCAATTGCCAACTGGCAGCTATTTCCCCCTGGCAGAATTTGGCCCTAGGACCCCAAATCTCTCCATTTTTTTTGTGGCCAAAATGGTGGCTTTGGTAGCCGCAGTGCAAATGCTGCAGAGGCCAATTAAGCAGGGACACCCCCCGCCCCCCGGTCTTTCAGCCACTCGGGATTGTGTTTCCAAATCAGTTGCCCCGTCTGAGCCTCGTGGCCCCAAACGGTCCTTTTCCAGCTGGCAGCTCCAACAGTCTGTAGCCACGGCCCCCTCGCTCTGCCTAAGAGGGGACCCCATTTTCCAGGGAGATCCTGGAATGGGGACGATCCATCGTGCACCCCGTGGGTTTCTTTGGCTTTCCAGGATGTTCTGGCAAGGGGCGGGGGTGTCATTTCATAGGGGGGCAGAGAATTCCCTTTTAAAATGGATTATTTTTAAGCTTTGTTTCTGGTTGGTTTGGGAGCAAGGGAATCTCCCGCCGCCCTCTAGCGTCAGAGTCCAGCCTCGGGTCCAATTCTGCTCACGCTGAGGCTGGAAGGGGGAGCAGCGCCAGTCGAGCGCCCCCACCCTGCAGATACCACGCGCCCCGGAGCAGTGCCAGCTTCCCGTCCCCCGGCACCGCAAGCTGCCAGCTCACGATGGCTCATTCTCCCAGCCGCTCGGCACTGGGCTCTGCATGAGCGGGGTGGGTGATGGTGAACCGGGCGCGACGGGGCGAGGGGCTGCAGGATCGGGACAGAATCGGGTCCATAAAGTCGAGTACGTTGAGAGATGAGGGATGTAGGCAGGGGAAATTATCCTGTCCCGATCCCGGTGAAATCCCACAGCAGGGTTTCAAACCCGCTCTGGACCCCCTTCCCACCATGTTTCTTTCCTTCCTCTACCCCCAGCTTTCCTTCCACTTGGCCGGGACAAGACCTTTCTCCCCTGCCCGCTTTGAACAATTGTTCAGTCACGATTGGATGTTTTCCTAAAGGCTCTGCTCTCGTTCAAACAGGGCTTAATTGATCGGTCTAGAGCGGTGGTTTTCAACCCATGGGCTGCACGCCCCTTGGGGTCCACAGCCTGATTCTCAGAGGGGCCTGCACCTCCATTCGAAATGTTCTTAGAGTCTGTTGTGTTTTTACTGGTAGCCTTCTACTAGTCCAATCTCGAGTGTGGATGCAATTACACTTGGATTAAGTTAGACCCATGTTGCATATTCCCCTTCCTATACAGGAATAAGCTATCCCAGGATAAGCCCCTTTATCCCAGGACAATTGAGTCCCCCCTAGGGGGTGTTGTACTGCATGAATTACCCCGGTGCAGTTAAGGCAGAGCAATTATTGTGTGACATAAACCTCTGTTTTCCCACCTAATCCGTTCCACTTCTCCAGCCCTTGGCTCGCCATGGGAGGAAAATTGAACTCGATGGATTTTTAAAATCCCTTTTTTCACTGATCCCCTTAGCGGGAAAGTTTCACCGTGATTTGAATTCTTTGAACGAAAGTTGGGGGTGGGGGGTTTGTTGGGTTTTTTTTTCTTTACCAAACCAAGATGTGGGGACTTGCTGCAGTGGGAAAATCTCTCGTTTGGTGTTAAATCGGACTTACAGGAATGGTGGCAGGGGTGGGACAGGGGACGACGCTTCCGCCCCGGTTCCTTGCGCCATCACTTGCTCTTGTGCAGAGCCTACGCTTCCAGCTGGGCACGGGGGTGTGTCACGCTCGCTGGGCACGGGGGTCGATGGTTGCACGAGGTGCGATTCAAGCCCCGTTTTTTTTTTCTCCTTACTGCCAGTGGGTTTTTCTTTTTCTTTTCCCCCAGATGTTCCCTTTAAGCAATGATGGACCCGCCTCCTCTACCTCCCCCTTCCTACCGTATTTCCCTGCGGGCTTGGCCCCCGGCGTTATCTTCCCCCATGCCAGTTGCCGGGAAGTAGGGTTGCCAATTTTGATGGGACGTGTTTCTGGAGGTTTGATCACGTGACATAATCTTTAATTAAAGATTCATCTTGAATTCCTGGAGACCCCAGGACCATCCCAGGCGGTGGGCAACCCTAGCGGGAAGTGGGGTGAGGGAGGGGAGAGAGGGGGCTGAGCTGAGCTCCGCGTGGGGCGCCGTGTTTCAACGCCGACTGTTAATTGCGTTGCGAATGCAACACACCCACCCACACACGCGCACAATCTGTAGACGGGCACCGCCCCTCCAGGCAGCTGTTCAGAGCCGCACATGGCCACACGCACAGACCGACGGCCTTCTCCGTCCGCGGAGAAGGCCGCGCCCAGGGTTGGGGAGGCAGGGCCGCCGCGCCCCTTTCTCTGGCCGCGGCCCTGCCCCGCCCTCCCGGCGTTCTTGGTTTTGTTTTGTTGATTTCACTTTCCGAGAGTGTGCTGCTCTTTTTTTCTTCTTGTCGTCGTTATTATTGTAGGGTTAGCGTTTTCCTTGTTGTCGGGTTGTTACGCGCACACGCCCCCCCCAAAGCCTGGTGCCCCCCCCCAGCCAGCCCCACCATTGGGAGTGTCTGATGCCCCTTTCCCACCCACCTCTCTTCCGATGCGGTGTGGACCCTCCGATTGCTCCCGCATTAGCAACCTGCCTGGTACGTGGCAATGGGGATCCAAGTTAGCCCCCCCAAATCCCTGGGGTGTTTACCCTACCCCATGGCAGCTACTTCACACCAGGGCAACCCTCTTTTAGGAGCACCCTGTTTTTAATGAGGGGGGGGTTAGAAACACTGTGAGTTGGATATACTTGGATTCCCTCTTTCCTGCCTGTAATATGGGGCGGGGGGGAATCTGTGGGAGATGGTGGAGCAGGGGGGATACTCCAGTAGAACTTGGAGCCTCCCCCATTGTTTTGCATTTGAGCAGAGCAATTTGCAGGGGAGGGACTCTTGGCCTTGTGTATCTTGGCTCCTTGCAGCCCCCCCCCCAACCTTTGTCCCCCCTCCCGGGCCAGGAAGCCCAGGATCTAACACCCTGGAGCGGGGGTAAGGTCTGGAGGGGCCTGATTCTGACCTTGCTGACACCCTGGGAATCAGGAGAGACCTCACTGAAGTCTATGGGTGTTAATCAGGAGTGACTCCAGTGGGGTGAAGCCACCTGGCCCTGCTGGAAGATCAGGATCGGGTCCCCCAGAAGAGGGATTTCTGGCAAAGGAGGTGAGGGGGGCAGCCAGGTGGGGTGGGTTGGTGCCAGGCTTTGGGGCATGTGTATTTTTTCTATTGTCTCCTCTCCCCGTGTGCGTCCGGTTTCTTTCGGGGCCGGACTCTCTTCTGGCACCCTCTGGACATAAACACGTCTGGTAACAAACCTTGGCTCACCTTGTCATTGGCTGCGGGGACCAAGCTGGGAGGGGGGGTCTGTGACCTGGGGATGAGAAGAACCCCCCTGGGCCAAGCCCACCAGAAAAGGAGAGCTCTAGGAGCCTACGCTCTGAGGCTGCCAGATGCCTCTGTGTGCTGGGTTGGCTTTCTGACAAAATCAGTCCGGTGAGAACTTGGCACCTGGAGGTGGCTCATTTCTCTGGCTCTAACCACTCGACTCCACTCCCCTTCCAGAGCTGGGGATAGAACCCAGGAGTCCTGGCTCCCAATCCCACTGCTCTAACCACTAGACCCCAGTCCCAGAGCTGGGGCTAGAACCCAGGAGTCCTAGCCTCCAGGCCCTCATCCCCAAACCCTGCTCTAACCACTAGACCCCACTGCCCTCCCAGTGCTGGGGAGAGAACCCAGGAGTCCTGACTCCCAGCCCCCCTGCTCTAACTCACCAACATTCTGACAGAAGTCGCGGTCTGGACAAAGAGCCCCTCGGGGGTGGGGGGTTGGGGGCGTGGTCTTGGGACCAGAGCTAAGGCACTGGGGAGCTCTGTCACTGTCCTGCTGTGTGACCTGCAGTTGGTCTCCTCCCCTCTCAGTGCCTCAGTTTCCCCCCCCCACCTGCCCAATGCCCTGGGTACATCTGACCTGCCTCCTGGGAGGAGGGTGGGAAGCTGCTTCGCTGGCCTGGGGAGGCAGCTGTGCGGTCTCTGGGTGAATGCCCTCGCTGAGCGTCTGGTGCACTGCGGGCGCGTACCCAGGGGGCACAGGGGGGAACCTGGAGCTGGCTGCCTTTGCCTGCCAAAGTGCTGCCGGCAGGGGCCAAATCCCTGCTTCTCCCAGAGGGTCCCCGCCCCTTAACATATA